ACAGCTGACCTGGCAGAAACTCAGAGGGCTGTGAAATCTTAGCATAGCTTTTAGAACTCTTGCTCATTGTGTTTTACTGCGTCTTTAACCGCACAACTGACCTGGCAGAAACTCAGAGGGCTGTGAAATCTTAGCATATCTAAACTACTCAAGAGAACATTTTCAATACACATAATAACCACTGCTCAAAATACAATACTCGTTCGGATGCCTGGGTATCTATCTATGCTATTAAATGTGTAAAGTATCATTTTATGGAAAAGAAAAAAAAAGCCAAGAGTTCGGGGTGTTACTGATAAAAAAGAAACACATATTTGCAACAGTACTACTGTTAAAATGTCATCGAGACAAAGCCTCCATGAGAAATCCTATACTCACTAGTTATAACACCAAGTCCAAAGTTATTCTGAACTTCCAAGACCTGCTACCAACTTGCTTACTTAAACCCTCATTACTCTGGTCTGACACATTGTGCCAAAGACCAAAAACAGCCCATGGTTCTCATTCTCCTGAGCCCTGCCCCTCTTATTTTCATTAACACCTCACTTCACTGTCAAACATCAACTGAGCAATAACAATACTAAAAAAAAACAAAACAAAACAAAACAGCCTGCTGCTGGTGTCTCACGTCTGTAATCCTAGCTACTCAGCAGGCTGAGATCTGAGGATCATGGTTCAAAGCCAGCCAGGCAGGAAAGTCTGTGAGACTCTTATCTCTAATTAATCAGCAGAAAACTGGAAGTGGTGTTGTGGCTCAAGTGGTAAAGTACTTGCCTTGAGCTGAAGACCTGAGGGGCAGTGCCCAGGCCCAGAGTTCAAGCCCCAGACTGACAAGGGAAAAGAAGTTACTAACTAGTTACTTCTAATGACAAGTATAAAACATGGTCCCTATTTCTTACCAGCAAACAGCAATAGAAGAGATACTAGAAAGCAACAAGGTGCACTGCAGCCAGACCTCAAGGCCCCCTCCCACCTCTCTTTTAGGCATGAATCACCACTCCCTGGCCATCATTCATAAGACCAAAGGAAGAGAGCCTAGGAAAAAGGAAAGAATCCCAAAGAAGAACACAGAGATAGAGCTAACATGAGATAGATAAAGCAGAGACTTGATAAAGGCAGGCTCAGAGAGGGTATCTCTGTGTTAGTAGAAACTTTCCATCTCACTTGTATAGGCCCTAAAAGGCCAATGACGTTTTCATTCTGTAGTGATGTTTTTAAGTTGGCAATAAGGTGGAATACACTGTAGCACCTAGAAACAGACCACAGTCCCACCAAGACACTCATCCCAAAGCGTCTTCCTCCAAATACACCACAGACATGACAGGGCTTTCTTCTTGTACATTTCTCCTCTCCTACAGCGAACACAATTCCCAGTAAGCAGAAGGTTCAGAAAGGCAAAGCAGCGGCAGTAATCATAAGCCCTTTCTCCATCACCACCCACGCCAAGCACAACAGGACACTCCAACTTCTCCCAGGCATCAGAATTCCTAATCTAGTCAGTTTTGTTATCTATTCCTCCCCCTCCACACACACAAATACCCTTTCACTAAGCCTCTTCCAACTCTTCAAGTACAATCAACAGAAACGCACTACTATCTAGACACTTTCTTCTCAAAGCATGGCAACCATGACAGTCTAAATCAAAGACAAACTAACTTAAAAAACATAACTTTTCTTAGAAAGAAAAGAATACAAATTAAAATTTTAAAGGTAGCAATTTATAGCCTAGAGTTAAGTAACGAGTCTCAAAAATTAAACTTTGAAGGACACAAAACTCAATTGAAACCAAAATCTTCCTTTTTATATCTACAAAAATCAATGTGACTGTTAGGATTTTCTGAAGTCATCCTAATAACTACAAAACGAGAAGATTATGATATACACGCCAATGAATTCTGCATACAACACATAAACCATAAAAATGAAAACTCAATACTCAGAATTTCATACTGAAAATGCTTAAACTCACCATGAACATTCTTGTTAATATTATTGTTTTGTTTCATTGTGTTGTATTGTGCTTATACCAGGGCTTAAACTTGGGGTTTTGGTCTCTCACTGGCTTTTTTACTCACAGCTAAAGCTGTACCACTTGAGACTCACCTCCTATATGGCTTTTTTCTAAAGATGGAATCTCTCAAACTTTTCTGCCCATGCTGGCTTCAAACCACAATCCATAGATCTCAAACTAGTTGGTAGCTAGTATTACAGGTGTAAGTCAACTATACCTGGCTTTTTTTTTTTTTTGAGACAGGCCCAGGTTGGGCTGCTCTCAAACTCTTGGGCTCAAAGGGTTCTCCCACCTCAGCCTCTGAGTAGCTGGAAATCCTGTGTACCCTGGCACACAACACTCTTTGGCTGTTTGGGGGTGGTGAGTGCGCCTGAAAATGTGCTCATGTGTGTATGTGCACATGCTGCTTCTGGGCGCTGTCCCTCAGCTCTTCTGCTCTAGTATGGCACTCTACCACTTGAGCCACAGCTCCACTTTTGGCTTTTTTTTCTTTTTGGTGGCTAATTGGAGATAAGAGTCTCATGGGCTTCCCTGCTCAGTATGGCTTCAAATTGCAATCCTCAGATCTCATCCTCCTAAGTAGTTAGGATAACGGTGTAAGCCACTGGTGCCCTGCATCTTGGACATTTTTTTATATTTCTTCACAACCAGATCCAATCCATCAGTAACGTTACAAATTCCAATGCCAAAAGATACTAAAGGCAAGTCACACAAGCTGATTCAAGCCCATCCAGCCCCACCTGACTCCTCTTCCAAAGGGCTCCTTTAACACCACAGATGTGTTTCACTCCTCTGCAAGTCCCTTTCACACCTCACTAAGAGTAAAAGCAGATTTCACTCTCCCACTTAACACAAAGCTGAAAATCAATAAACCCTCATTTATCTGATATTGCTGTTGTTACACCCATTCTTACAATTTCTTTGTTGTGAAAAATAGCTTACATGATTCCTTTCCATCCATGAAATTTATTTGAAAAATACATAAACTTACAAGTATCACTCTTTTTTTTTTTTTGGTCAGTCATGGGGCTTCACTAGCCATGAACTCTGGGCCTGGGCGCTGTCCCTCAGCACTTCAGCTCAAGGCGACCGCTCTACCACTTGAGCCACCTTCCCAGCCCTCGGTCGTGGGTCTTGAACTCTGGGCCTGGGCGCTGTCCCTCAGCTCTTCAGCTCAAGGCTAGCACTCTACCACTTGAGCCACCTTCCCAGCCCTCGGTCGTGGGTCTTGAACTCTGGGCCTGGGTGCTGTTCCTCAGCTCTTCAGCTCAAGGCGAGCGCTCTACCACTGAGCCACCTTCCCAGCCCTCGGTCGTGGGTCTTGAACTCTGGGCCTGGGCGCTGTCCCTCAGCTCTTCAGCTCAAGGCGAGCGCTCTACCACTTGAGCCACAGCAGGAGTCTCACGGTCTTTCCTGCCCGGACTGGCTTTGAACTGCAATCCTCAGATCTCAGCCTTCGAGTAGCTAGGATTACAGGCGTGAGCCACCGGCACCCAGCCTATACCACTCTTTTAGTATTAAACAAAAAACAGAAACTGCTTGGAAGAAATCAACTACCAAAGGACTTTAATAACCTTCAGTGGAGAGAAAGAATGAAGGGACGATGTTGCTTAGATTAAAAAGAGAAATTACATGAGGTCAAGATTTACACATCTCTGCTGGTCCCATTCAGCTATAACAGACTGTAGTGGAGCTAGACTAGAGGAGGCAGGAAACAGGGGAGGCACCCACTATCTGGAAGTCAGGGCCCACAAATGTACGTAATCCAGCCACCCACAAGCCAGTGACTTTGCTTCAAGCAAATTGTAGGAGGTCATGGTCTCTTCTAGAGTATGCAACCAGCAAACTGTAATTTCTGTCCAAGAAGACATTTCATGCACTGACCTTCAGATTCTCCTTTCACACTCACCTAAAATTAGACCCACCATAGAGCTGAGGTAGCCAGTGCCACTGCCCAGGTTCAGAAATGAGAGCCCAGGCTGCAGATCAAGAGCCTCCATCACCTCCGAGTAGATGCACGGGGCCGAGAGATGAATGTTTCCATGTTTCCATGCCAAATCCTTGTATGCATTTTCCTTAAACTCTTCCAGATAATAATCTGCACGGTCAATCGCACGGAAGGCCTGCTCCACCAGGTCCGTCCGGATATACTGCGCTTCTTTCAAGTTATCAATCAGTTCATCGTTGTCCTCACCCGCACTCACAGCACCGCCCATGTTCAAGATTACACTCAGGCAACACTATAATTAAAATTTAAAGAACTAGCTTAGTTATGAGTAAGAGAATAATAATAAAAGCTCAAAATATATACCAATGTTAAGTTCTGAACTCTAAAAATAATACAGAAGCTGCAAATTTTAGAAGAACAAACTATCAGTTCAGCCAGGCACGGGTGGCTCATGCCTGTAATCCTAGCTACTCAGGAAGCTGAGATCTGAGGATCATGGTTCGAAGCCGGCCACACAAGAAAGTCCATGAGACTCTTATCTACAATTAATTACCCAAAAAGCCAGAAATGGCACTGTGGCTCAAGTGGTTGAGCACTAACCATGAACAAAAGAAGCTCAGGGACAGTACGTAGGTCCAACGTTCAAGCCCCAGGAACAAGAAACTAATTAAATAAAAAAATACATATGTCCAGTTCGAAATTCAAGACAAGTACTAGACTTTATTTGGTGCTTATCTGTAATTCAAATTTAACTGGTGTCCTAAATTTAATTGGAACTCTACACCAAACACATACATAAATTCTTACCCAAGTTCAGCAAGCCATCCAATTCTTGATTTGGATACTTTGATATTCAATTATTAGGCAAAAACAACATCAACAAAAAAATTAACAAATAGACCACATTGTGACAAAATCTTATTGCAACAAACATTACACCAGCTTTAAGACTACAGTTTAGCAGTAGGAGCTATCCAGCCTTTTCAAGTAAATTTCTTTCCTTCTTCCAAACTGCCTTTAAGGAGGAAACATGCAGCCCCTCTACTACAACCCAATTTGGCTTTATCTAGTGCACAGGGAAATGCTCTTTTGCCTGGAGAGTTCTTACACTGAAACTATAAAAAAAAAATCCTTCTTAATGTAATACTAACTCCAATAACTTTTCCAAAATAATGGCTTTACTTCACACAAGATGATGATGCTGATGATGATGATGTAAACTGCTGGAGGAAAGATCACTTAGTCTACATGAAGACTAGCACACTTCATCAATTAAGATAGCCTCCTGACAATGTATTACAATGCTTCTCTCTCTCCTTCACAGTCCTTTGACTCTCTAGCTGCAGAGTAAGGACAATGAGGGAACACTAGGGGAGAGATACCAGTGCACAACTGGCCACAGTGGTGGAAGCAGCCTAGGGAAGGGGACAAACCACCACCTGTGTGTCTTCTGCTTGATACAAACAGCAAACAAAAGGTGTGCAGGGATGTCTTGACACAAGTTACCTCCCACTTTATGGTAGAATCTCAATCCTCATGATCAACATGTGAAAATTTAGAATCAGAATTTTTAAATCATGGTTCAATTATTATAGTTTTATCTTCTTTTTAAGCTGTTCTAAAGCCCTTGTTAGATAACAGAACCGGCTCTAGCCCTTCAAGGGATGGAATTAAGTGCTAATGAGGTTAGGTTTAATCTTGGGCAAGCCACTTAGTTCAGGGGCTATACTGCTAGCCTAGCACAGTCAACTTAAGACTTGGGTCACTGGTTGAAAGTGGAGTCATGTGTTTGGATGTTTAATGATCTATTTTAGGAAAAGAACTTACAATCATATCCTCCTGGGTTCAGATCAAGAAAGACACCTATTACTCCAGAAGCCTGGATAGAATCTTGTCATGCTGCCTCAATTCCTAAATTTAAAAATCTATAGTAGGTAGTTCATTGGGTATATTTCATTTTCTACTAATATCTACCATTTATATCCATTTTTCCTCACTTTGAAAGCACCTCCCAGATCAAAATTACAGCATTTTAGTAAAAATAGTTACAAGTGTCAGCCAAGACCTCATTCAAACTTCACAATGGGCAACAAATTAGTGCCAGAAAGTTAATTCGCTCAGGATCACATAGTCAGTGTGAAGAATGGCTGGACTCAAAACCCCAAACTTATGTCAAAGGCCTGTGTCTTATACACATTGACGTAGCTTTAAAAAAAAATTCTCAAGGGATCAGTGTGTGTGTGTGTGTGTGTGTGTGTGTGTGTGTGTGTGCAAGCACACGCCAGTCCTGGATCTTAAACTCAGGACCTAGGTGCTGTCCCTGAGCTGCTGTACTCAAGATTAGCACTCTACCACTTGAGCCACAGTTCCACTTCCAGCTTTGTGGTAGTTCACTGGAGATAAAGAGTTACATGGACTTTTTTTTCTTTTTTCTTTTTGTCGGTAGTGGGTCTTGACCTCTGGGCCTGGGCGCTGTCCCTCAGCTCTTGAGCTCAAGACTAGTGCTCTACCACTTGAGCCACAGTGCCACTTCAGGTTTTCTGAATGGTTTATTGGAGATAAGAGTCTCATGGCCTTGGCTTTGAACCGTGATCCTCAGATCTCCTGAGTAGCTAGGATGACAAGCGTGAGCTACTGGTGCCCGGCTCAATATTCTTTATATATAACATATTGTTAATCTTTTGGCAATCAGAGTACCCTGTTGCCACTGTTAGGGTGTAAACATGTAGGGTATGATACGCACTATTAGCTGCCAATCTAACACCAAGTCATAAAAAAAAAAAATCACTGCTTACTGATGACATGTGAGATCATGCTATCCAAAACACCCAGAACCACTCGCCTCGCCAATCCACATCCTCTCACTGGCCCAGACTCTGCAATCCAGTGAAATCCAATTTCTCAAAGCAACAGTGAAGTAAGTAGCACCCTGAAGATGTGGCCCCTGATTACACGCTGCTCTTGACTACTGTCTGTAATGCTTAACAGAGTTCCTACCCAAGAGTAGCCACTGCAAGACACTGAAAAAAGAAGTACTGAGCCACGGGGCAGCAGTATCACCAGGAACACAAGAGAGGTACCGAGGGCAGTATCGCCAGGAACACAAGGGCTTAACTGTGGCTGTGTAAACAAACACCAAGCCAAGTGTTGGGAATGAGGGGCCCAACTCTGGTCTGTTCTGGTTGGCAGACTGCCTAAGGGGGTGACTATCCAACCCTAAGTCACATCTTACACGGAATGTCCTGCAGAGAATGAACTGGGAAAAGAGACCTAAACGCAGCGTCCTGGGGGCGAAATGAACGATGAGAGAGAGGGAGAGAGACAGACAGACAGAGACCAAACAAAGGACAGAAAGGGCCACCCCGCCCAGCGCCACAGCCAAGGTCCACACAGAGATGCTGCAGTGCGGAGAGGACGGTCCGGAGTGCGCAGCGGGCGGGGGCTGCAGAGGGCCGGGGGAGGGAGGAGGGGGCTGCAGGGGGCCGGGGGAGGGAGGAGGGGGC